CGGCATTGCGCCAGGTCCCACATGTTGCGTCATGCCCCCTACTACAATTTCTATGCTAACACTACTAAGCTGAATGCAGCTTTTATATATTAATAACATTAAAGAGCATTTACATTACACATTAGTATTAATATTAATAATCTCTTTCAAGATTTTTTATTTTGTATTACAGAGTTTGTTATAATAGGAAAGATAATTTATAGACTTTTATTTGAGTTAGATAGAAATCTTTCCTTATAAAATCTTTCTTATTTTAATCTGTTTTTAGTTTATGACTATCAAAAGAATCAGAGGTTCTATTTTTATACAACCCAACTAAATTTAATTTGGATTCAGATATTTAAGTACAATATTTATAGAAATACTAATAAATTTATAAATAAAGAATAAATTTATATATTTTTATCTTTTGTAAATATAAAACTAGAAATATATATTTAAAAACTTTAAAATATTACTATTGTATTATTAATCCACAGATCTTATTTTTATTTTTATTTTTATTTTTTATTTTTTTTATAGGCAAAGCACATTATATGCGAGACATTTTTATTAATTACTAGAAATTATTTTTGTCATTACATGAATGACTGACTAACTATTTAGCTAATCTAATCCTAGCATTGCCTATTATAATTTAGCTATACTTACTTACACCCAGGAGATAGGTTCATATGTCAGGTGGAAACTTCAAAGAAGGGGAAATCCTGCTGCCAGTTTTAAACTATCTTAATTTTGGTTTCCAATTTAGGATGGTCATTAATAGTAAGTATGTTAACTGTTACTAGGTTCCTTATTACTTCACACCTTGAGCTTAAGCATTCATAATACCTGTGATTTTACTTTTCTACACTTTCTAGTAAATACTCTAAGAGTTATTTCTATAGTTGGCACACATTATCAAATCTGAGGGCTTGGTTGCTGACCAAGTAGAGTGCAACTCCTAAATCTCCCAGTAGATACTCCATAGGCTCTCAGTTGGCTTAGGCTACCAAATTTAGACTTTATTTAAACTTTTATTTACTATTATTACATTAACAATATTTATATATTGTAAATAAATTAATTATAATCTATTGTGACAATATAAGATAATATATATAGACTCTGAAAATCTATGTGAAAAAAGAAAAAAGACAAATAATTACTAACTACTAGTTATATTATAAACCAGTATATATATTTGCTAGGGAAAAAATGTGGATTGTTTGGTGTGACTAGAAGAATTAGATTTGAGTATATTGGGCTTAAAAAACTAGTTTGTTGTTATAGTATAATCTATGAATCTTTTCTATATTCAGAATCTTGTTTTTAATATGATATGACCATCTTATGCCAATCTTTTGAAAGGTAAGCTAACTGTAGTTTTTGATATAGATAAAATTAAAAAAGTAAACAAGAAGATCAATTTCATGAAATTCTTCTTGAGTGTATAGAGATAATGATAATGTCATATATTCAAGATGGGAATATTTGTTTAGTATATATTTTTGATCAAATATTTCAAGCAGAACCAGGGCTTAGCTAAGTAAAATCCTATGCATATAGCTTTTTGGATTAGAGAATTTTTTATTTTTTATAACCTACTGTATCTTTTTATAAATTTTCAAACTTTAGTATAGAGAATAGTGACTATTGAAAGTACTCCTGACAACTTTCATGTAATTTGATTACAACTTTCAATTAGAGTGATTTTATCGTAACCTTTTTCAAATTAAGCTCTTTTAAGCAAGAGAGAGATTTTTGTTAAAAGACTTATACTTCTTAATGAAAGTAGCTTTAGCTTAATTAAAATATATATTTGATTAAGATAGGGGTATTGATTTTTAAGAAGATTAATAAGATTATTATAAGGTAAAGAAGAAGAAATCTAGAAAGAAAACTTTCAAGGTGAAGAAAAAACAGTTTATTGATAGAAAAGGAAAATGGAAAAGGGAAAAAAAGAAAAAAGGGAAAAAAAAATTGTTTTCTAACTTGTGATTGTTAGATATACATAGAGTCTCACTATAGAAAAGATTAATTCATTCCTAAACCTTTTTTTTCTTTGTCTCAGACTATTGCCATGCACAGACTTGATCAGTTTATGCTTTTCTAAGGTTTTAATTTATATTTTATTATTATTATTATTATTTTATTAATAAAAAAAAGAAATAAGAAATCTAAAAAAATAATATAAATACTAGAATTTTTTTTCTCAAAATTTTGAATCTTTTAGAAATCTTAAACAAATATATTTTCTAGTTAGTTTTCTACTAATAAGATATTTTTATCATAAATTTTTATAACAAAATTTTTTTATAATTTGTTATAAAAAATAAATAAGAAAAGTAAGTTGAATTGAAGAAAAAATAAATAGAAGTTATTACTTGGTTTTTTAATTAAAAAATCTATATTGTTAATAAAATTATATTAATTTTATTAGTATAAAATATAAAATATAAGAATATTTATTTTTTAAATTGACAAGAAAATTAAGAGTTTTTTTTTGTTATATTATTATTATTTTTTTAAGATAAAAAATACTAAACATATTGGTTTTTATTAAGTTATTTATATCCAATTACATTAAATCAAAGGTCTATTTAAGTTAACCTATTCCTCCTATTTGTTTAATCCAGCTATACAAAATTATTACTATAGAAGTGGACCTATATACTAAATGGAACAAATTTAGGAAGTGGAAAGTCCTGCCATTAGTTTAAACCTACCTTCCTGTTACTGTAAGTCCTAATTTAGTAACCTTGTGGCTACTTATTGTCAAAGATTCTATACCTTGCAGGATTGATTAGAATATATGAATAACCTGAATACTTTTTGTCTAGTTTCTTAGAAAAGATACTTGTACTCTTTGTTATTACCTGCAGCTTCAGATTTCCTTTAGAAGTTCTTTTTTTTAAGCAAGCAACAGATTGGAATAGTCCTAGGCTAGAGTGTTCTTTGTACTATAGAGTTTTCTATGCCAGGAGGTAATTTTTTGAGCTTTTATTGGAGTTAGACCAAAAGCCTTTCTTTATACAATTTTTCCTACTTCGATCTGTTTTTAGCCCATGATTATCAGAAAGACCAAAGGTTTCATCTTCATGCAGTCTAACTGAATTTGGTTATAATTTGAATGTTTGGATATAATATTCATAAAAAAACTGGTAAACCCACAAATAAAGGTAATTTTTATGTATTTTTTCTCCTGTTGATATTGAACTAGGAACATGTATTTGAAGATCAGAGAGTACTACCCACTGTGCTATTGATTCACTGGTTATTTTTTTTATTATATTATAATAATAATAATTCAGTATTGTATAAATATATAAAAGTATAATTCCACTAGTTTTGTAAACACATCTTCATGATATAAGTTAGTAGTACTAGTATAAGTTACAATAGATTACAATTAATTTGTATTTTTCAAAGATTGTTAATATAATGGCAGCAAACTTATGTTTAATAAACCCTGCATTTAATGCTTATTTGCAATAAAAAAATAAAAATAAAAATAAAGTATAATTCAAATTTATTATCAAAATAAATTAATAAAATAAATTATTAATTTAATAACATTTGGTACAATAAATGTATTATTTAATATAATATAATTTAATTTAATGTAAAAACATTTCACATGTAATATATTTTAATATATAAAATAATCTAGTATTTTTAATTCCAGAGTGAGTATAGCCTGGATTAAAATGTAAGATTCCTAATGATGCTACTTCAATATTTTAATTTAATTTAAATAAATATAAGTAGATTACAATCTATATGTTAGAATTTAGTATATATAAATACTATTTTGATATTATTTGGATACCAGTTTGATACATTTTCAGAGCCCTACTAACAAGCTAGTAAATTAAATATTATATAAATTAAAATCGAGTATTTGTATTACATAATAATTAATTATATTACAACTATTTATATCTGTTTACTATTCTACACTATTCTAGAGATTCCCACCTATAAATTTTCACTTTAGTTTCCTCCTATAACAACAACATTTATGTATCGTGACACGTATCGCGTTACTGTGCCCCTTTTACCCAAGATATGCTCTGCTATTTGTCAAAGACATTTTAAACATTATTTTTTGAAGAAATTAGTATAAAATGAATGCGAAAATATCATAATAGCATGTGTTTTTGAAATGATATAATTTATGTATACGTATTGTGCAAGTCTGTTTGCTAATGATTAACAAGGTTTTGCCGGATCTATCGTTTATCGATATCTACTTTTTATACATTTTTTTTTTGTTTACAAAGGCCAGTGCATTTATATTCTCACGAACAATCGAAAGAATCTGCGAAGCTTGCATAATTCTTTTTTGCAGCAAACCACGTGACAAATATCGCGCCCTAACTTACTTGTTGAGGTATACGTATGCACCTTTTGTATTTCAAATAAAATTTCTGATTGGTTTTTCTAACGAGTTTAATAAATATGAGATTTATAGGCCACAAGTTTATTATTCATTTCAAATAAATACATTAGCTTAAGCATGGAAAAAATAACTTAACAATAAAATTTCATATACGGTATTTATATTGACTTTAAAAAATATCCTACTATTTGATTATTATTATAATTATTTATTTTTTAAGCAAAAAATTCAAATTTATAAATATTAGATACGTCTTATCTGTAATAATATTGGAAATATTTATGTATTAATTTTATAAATAGTTTTATTTTTGCACAAAATTGCGATAAAATAAGCAAATACATTTATGCAATTTTTTTTGCCATATACTGTATATACTGTAAATATAGCGTAGATCAAGTTTTGTTTAGACAGTAAAAAAATAATAGGAAATAATAATTTTATATATTTTTCTATGTAATATTGTATTAGTAGACATTAATTGCCAATTATTAAATATCACACAAAACGAAAAGAAAAGAATCGTAAAAAGAAACATTAAATCATTCTAGTATTCTCTAAAACATTAACAAATTCTATCTATTTATGTTGTTATTGTACCCAAATATCAATTAAATCAAACTTTACGCTTTGCATATAACTTTTTGTTCTTATGACAGTTTTTTGCGCCAGTGTGTTTATGAGATTTGCAAATTCCATTTTGACATTCTTTATCATGAGGGCACTGTAAATTATTAGGAAAGTTAAAAAAAGGAGAATATTTTTACTAAAAATATTTAAAAATTCATTACATACTTTGTTATCGCAACTTCCGCAGTGCTCTGCGCAGTTAAGTGTGTTTATGCATTTACCACCACAACAGGTTCTATTCCTATCACACTACAAATGATATAGAAAGTTAAAAAATATTGTAGCTTTGCAAAAAATATTTGAAAAAAAAAACACTACATACTCTGCTACAACAAGCTCCGCAGTTTTTTTCATCAGATTTAAGGTCAACGCATTTATTTTCACATTCGGTCATACCAGGGGGGCAAACGCAGCGTTTATATTTACAGATTTTACCACCAGCACACTACAAATTTCAAGTTAATAAAAAGGATTTTTGTCCAAAAAACATAGAAAAAATAACAAACATACAGGGTTACAAGTTCCACAGTGATCGTTAGTATTAGGAATGATGCATTGACCTCCACAATCTATTTTATCATCGGGACAAACGCAGGTTTTATTTTGACAGATTTTACCATCAGCACACTACAAATTTAACAAGTCAATTAGATGATTTTGTCAAAAAATATAGAAAAAATAAACAAACATACAGGATTACAAGTTCCACAGTGATCGTTAGTATTAGGAATAATGCATTGACCTCCACAATCTATTTT